TTTCTAATGCACTTAATTTGAAGACAATCCAATGGTTATAATCTTCAGATACTCTCGATGCAATTAAGACAGAAAATGCAGTCTCGAAAGACAGCACAAGCCGTGACCATGGCCAAAGCATGGTTCCCTGCGGGTATAAGCACCGCGACCGCGGCTAGACAACGTTCACTTCCTAGACGGCCTAATGAAAGCCCAAATCGATTCCTTTCATGATTTTTGAAGCCCTAAGTGTCTAGGACAACTCCAGAAGGTATAAATACCCCATTTAGGTCATTATAAAGGGTGTATCCGTGTGTGTGCCTCAATTTACAAAAACCCTAGAGAGAGTAGCCGACTTCGAAGAAGGAGCCGCCGAGGGAGAGCATCATCGCGCCTCCACCTGAAACTCCGTTCTTCGCTTTTCTTCTTTGTTCTTTTTATTTTCCAGCAATCTTAATACGTTCATGATGCTTTGTTACAATATGTTTGAGTAGTTTCTCAGTTGTGTTTAAAGGGATTTTTCAAAGGGAATTTCATGTGTTTTCTTCGATGAATCGCTAGATTTAGGATCTATAATATTCTAGGTGTTCTTCGTTTACCTTTATTCTTATTGTGTGATTCTCTGTTGGCCACTTAGAATTCGATCCAGATATGATATGTTGCAAAAGTTTTCATTGATTGTCTGCCTAGGGTGAAACAAGCTATTCTACTATAGGAGTGGAAACCTACCTATAGATGAGTTGTGAATGTTGATGACTCTTGTTTAAACTATTGCATTTACTCCCTTTAAGGATCAGAGTGGAAACCTACTGGTCAGGGTTGTGAGAGATAGTTGTTTAGTGCTGCGAAAGTAGGCTATTCATACTTCTGTGCCTCGAGTTCTAGAACATACATAGTAGATTACCTTTATCATTTACTTATTTTCGTCATAGCTTTAGTCCATGAATTCCTGCGATACCCTTGAGCCCAGCGTTTGTTTTCCATTGTTTTCAGCCTTCGATTTTTACCTGCTTTCACTTGCTTTCATTTTCAATTGCTTTTTACTTGCTTTTTAGTTTAGATTTAGTGACAACCAAAACCAAAACCCGAACCTGTTTCGTTCTAGTCTGATTTGAGCCTTACCATGAATTCGTACTGAAACAACTAAAACTCTGTGGATCGATACCCTAAATACTACAGCACACATCTGTGCACTTGCAGACATTAAGGGGTTATAAATTTAAAACCTGAAGCTAAGGAAAACAAACACCCTGTTAACAATCGCATCAAGTTTTCGGCGCCGTTGCCGGGGACATTGATTTGTTTCATTGCGACTCTCAGCTTAAATTCATTAGAACACTTGTCTACTTTTACTTTTTCTTTTGAATCTCGCAGGTTTCTTTACAATGGGAGATCGGGAACATGTTCCCGGGACTCTCGGTGATCTGCCATATCGTGTGGATGGTAACCCAAGCGACGATGACCTGAGCAATGAAGAGCTTGAAAATCTGATCATTGATGATGAGGAGCTAATCGGATCAACAAAACGTGAAGATGATGATGAGCTAATTGGAAATTTTGATTCACTTGAAAATTTTTGGGTTGTTTTCTAACAAGCCCGTTGGTCCTCCTTAAGTTTTAAATTTATAAAACCCTAGTGTCTGCAAGTGCATAGATGTACTTTGTAGGACTTAGGGTGTTGATCCACAGGGAGGATGTCTAATCTGCAAGAAACAACAAACTGGGAAGTAAGCAAACTCATAAACCAATAAAAGATTTGGGGTTATTGGTTAAGATCCTAAACTAAACCTAATCTAGTATTCACAAGAGATGCAATGCAGGATGAATTGTTAAAAGAACATCTAAAACATATCGACTCAAACTAAAGACTCTTAAACACATATGTGGCGATTTAGACTTCTCCGGTTTACTCTAATCGATGTATGGTGGCATTTCCAATTAGCTTCCGGGCGATTTATCTTCATCTGTTTCTGGGAATCTGCATTGAACTAGAATAGACACATGTATGATTAACCAACTGTCGTCACCTTAATCAACTAATCTCTTAGATCTATCAATTAACTTTCGCTCTCATGCTAAACTTAAGATCATGCTTTGGACACTGAATTCGTCTGCTCACATCTTCTCTATAGGTAGCTTTTGACTCCTATAGCTTTTGACTCTTCTGAAGCTAGGTACGGATGATCTGATACAGCACTCTCGTGGCTCTGATCGATCCTAGGCTCAGAGAATAGGTCATGAATCTACTCTCATGCTTTACGAATGACTTAGAAGAGATGAGATCCAGAATATGGCTTAGAACAATAGAAATCCTAATCGATATATATGCTTGTCGATATCTTCAAACAACTTGACTCTCTAGGACTAATCTACATGATGCAATGAATGATGAAAGACATAAAGGAATGCAAAAGAATGAAACAGAAAAGTTAATAAGATAAAAAGGAGGAAGAACAATGGATCTGGGGAAGAATCCCCATCTCCATCGCCTAACCCTAGAAAAACAAAGTTTAGTGGCTCAAAATCTCATTACAGGAGCACACACCCGTTTAGGACTGCTAAACAATGTATTTATAGGTCCTAAGGTCTTCCAGGACTCATTTAGGGTTTCTCTGAAGAGGAATGGTGAAGTGGGATTTGATGTTCGGCCTTGTGGCTCGTCCTAATGTCCACCAGGGTGAGAGTCTTCCAGGGCAGGTAAAACATGTGTTTCCCGCGGGTGAGAGTCTTCCGGGACTGGTGAACTGGGTCAACTTGTTCTCCATGTATATTTTGATTGCACCGTTGGATCTTTGTGATGTAAAGTGATATGGAAAGCTGGTTGTCTCCTCTTGATTGTCTCCAAATTTGAGCTGGATCGGACGGTGAGAAAGTTTTCATTTGAGGCTGAACTTCTGACGGTCTGACTCTGAGCTAAAAATGTGGATTTCTTCCATTTTGCCATCATATTCCCTAAGTTTTCTAAAACTAAGTAAAACCTTTGAAAAAGCATTTGAAATCAATGGTGAAAAGTGGTCAAAATCAGGTGTTATGACAAATTTTCCACCCTCCTTAGCCTGATGATTAAAAATAAGTCTATAAACATGGATAATTCCAAGGAGGAGCCAAGTGAAAGTTCTTTCGAAAGCTCGAGCAAAGCCGACTCCTCCGATCATGTGAAAGCTATCACACTTAGGAGTGGTTTAACTTACAAAAAACCTAAATTTCGTAAAGATCCTGAAGATGAGAAAAAAAGAAAAAAAAAAGGAAAAAGAAAGAGAAAGAGTCACAATTGAACATGTTAAAAAATAAGTGGTAAGAGAGAAGGATGGAAAAGAAGTATGAGAAAACATATCCCGGAAAATCTTTGGAGAAGACCCGTCCCCCCCCCTCTACCAGCTCATGTCTACAAACCTAAACTGCCATATTCTAGAGTCTTAAGAGCTCTGAAGAAAGAGAAAGAAAAAGCTAAGATAAAAGAGCTAATCGATCAACTAAAATGTGAGATTATCTTTCGTAGAAGTTTGTGCTATGATTCTCGCTTTAAAAAAATACATAAAGAGTATTTTAATAAATTTTTTAATTCTTAAAGAAAATGTTATGATGATAACTCATGAATGTAGTTCTATCCTATAAAGTTGGATTCCTCAAAAGAAAAATGATTTTGGGTAGAATGTTAATAAATATAGAAAATAATAATCAAAGAACATATTAAAATAAATAATTACAGAATGGAAAATTTTAATAAAAATACACAAATCTAATTTTTATTACCAATTTAATACACCAAATAATCGGTGTATTACAATTTTATCGGAATACTAGTAAAAATATATTACTTAAAAGATAATTTACCACATTATAATAAAAGGGACAGTTGTGTCCGAATGACCAAAAATATCTCTGTCACGTCCAACAACTCTTTATTCTCGAAGATTCGTCTGGCGACGCGTGGGCATAGCCATAAACCATAAAAAAGTTTTATGTATGTTATTGGTGTATTTTTTTTTCTTATTTGTTGCTGTCGACGTGTTTCTTTCGAATATTATAGAAAAATACACCACTTTTTGGGACACGTATTCGTAATGAGTATTCTCTTTTCGCACACTATTAGTAATTACTAATTTATCTGAATCATGTTATATTTTTGTATATAAAATACATAATAGAAAATAATTACAACTAAAATATTTGATATTTCTTTGGTTTAAATTAATTTATATTTATTTTTTTTCCATCGATTAGAAAAACATTTTTATGTTAATATAAACAAAAATTAATAATTTATATAAACACAATTCATTAAATGATAAAACATACTACAAAAAAAATAAATTATTATAAAACATAAAATTTAATCAATTTTGCATTGCAAGTTAAAAATATATAAGTTTAGACAATTTTTTGTGTATTCAGCAATTATTTTTAAATGAATAAAATATTTAACATAATTAATTAATTATAAAAACAAAAAATACTAAAAATTACAAAAATTGAGATAGTAATCTGAGAATTCACATCAGATCAAGTTGGTGCTCCTCTAATATTAAAAACATTCATATTGGCTATGCATTGCATGATTATAAATCAAAAGACGATGATAATTTTTGTAATAGATTACTTTGAATAGGTTAAGAAAATATTTATATCTAAAAATGTAATTTTTTTTCTTTTTTGTCAAAATTCGAGAAGTAGTCAATTTTTGTATTATATTTTAGAAAATTGTGAAAAGTAAGAATTTGTTTACTTTTTCTTTGTTTCATTCATTCTATACATAAATAAAACATAGACAGACAAGTCAATAGAGAGTATTTGTATTTATCCATTAGTTATTGTTTATATAAATTTGGTATAAAATCAAAGCAACTTATGCGAAAAGTTACAAGCGAACAAATTATGGGTCTTTCATGATATCTCCAATGGTGATTTGGGAAGTTATCTTTCACCAAGATTCTAAGATCAGGATGGATCGAAGGTGGTATTTGCGATTAATTCGGTTGGGTATATCAGCAGAAGAGAAATCTAGGGAGAAGGAAATGGATTTGGTTTGGTTATTCGGATTGATTCAAGGGGGAGATCTACAGGAAGTAATGATCGAAGTTGAGCGAATTGGTTCAAACGATCTTCAATCTGGTTTGCTACTGAGCTGGAGGAAGAAAGGATATAGAAATTGCAGCTCGGACACAATTTCTAGGTGGACCCGATGGACTTTCAGAAACTCAAATCAGACAAAACAAAAACAACTCATCAAATCAAAAGGTGTGGACCTTATTTAGGGAATGGATCTAGTCGATTTCCAGGGATTGATACAAGATCAGGAACGATACATCAGAGTTGCGAAGATACTGGATCCATGAAGATTAGGAAAAAGGTAGAATCTCGGAGATTTGATTTCAGCAAATCAAAATCGGGTTATTTGGATGATAAATCAACAACACAGAATCACTATTTTCTCGGTATAATGAGGGGTATTAACCATATAAAGAGGGGAAGAAGGACAAAGCAAATTCACCAAATAAACATTCATCATTTTTTCTCAATCTCACGGTGTTTTCTCGGTCTGAATTTTTTGCTTAAGAGAATGTCTCAAAGCAACCTAATGAAACAAACAGCTTCAGGAAAGAAGATTGCGGTATCTTCAAAGAAGATGAAGATTACGGTGCCCCATTTTGATAACTTAGAACTCATACAAGGATATTCGAAGACCTTGATTGGAAGATGCATGAACCCTGCGGTGCAAGATATGAAAGCGTTGCTGTATATGTTGCCACACATATGGAAGGCTGAAGAAAGGGTAGCAGGAGCGGATCTAGGACTTGGAAGGTTCCAGTTTGACTTCGAACGTGAAGAGGATATTACAGAAGTCATGAAGATGGAGCCATTTCACTTTGACTACTGGATGCTCTCAATTGAGAGGTGGGCACCAGTTGTTGATCCAAAATATCCTTCGTCGATTATGTTCTGGGTGAGAATCATCGGTATCCCTCTTCACTTTTGGGCTGAGCCAACTTTTCAGTCCATCAGAAAAGCCTTAGGTTATGTGAAGGCGGTGAACCTGGACGAAGGAAAAATCCAGGTCGTGATCGATGCTGTGCAGCCACTATGCTTCGAGACGGAGGTGGAGTTTCATGGGAGAGAGGAGACCACAGTGTTCCTCCGGTATGAAAAGTTATTCGGGTATTGCAGGATTTGTTTCAGTCTTTGCCATAACCAGAAGATATGTCCTACTCGGACAGATTCTATGGAGTGGAAGGCGCATGACGAGGACCATGATGAATCAAGGCAAAACACCGGTGCGTTTTCTTACAAAGCAGCGGTTACACATTCCTCCCTTCCTCATTCCTTCCATGATTCTAATTAACACCAGTAGAGTCTCACGGGGTCCAAAGTAGAGGAAAAGGAAAAATGTATGAGTACAAGGAGGAGGTGAAACAAGCACAATTGGAAGAAGGTCATCGATATTACAAAGGAAGAGGTGATCGTCGGTACGGTGAAGGATCGTTCAGAGGTGGAAGACCATCCAGCTATGTCCACCCAAAGGAGCTACAACAGCGTTTAGCGGTATCCTCATTCCTCAGAGGCTGTAAACAAACCTAAGTATCAGGCAACCAGTACGAGAATGTCTGTATTGGGGCAGGCGGAAGTATCTGAAAGGATTAAAGCTATTCAGGCAGAGAACACGATTAGGAAGAGTCTGGAATTTGGAGATAATGAAAGTAACACTAGGGAGGAGACGATTGCGAAGATTGTGACTATTGAGGGTGTGATGAGCACGGTTGAGAATGGAAAGATGTTGGAGAGCGATGGAGCAACAGTTAATGAATGGGAACAGCTGTTGAACAATGATGACTCTTTGATGGATTTTGATATTGATAGTACTGTTGCAGGAAATTTTCAAGAGGTGATTCTTGAACATGAAGGATAAAAGCAACACATAAATTCAGTCATGGAATCAGGAGACGCTCAGTTGACCACAGATGTGGTGCGAGACTTCTTGGAGCAGGAAGAAGGTAGGTTTATCATGAACTCGGCTCAAGATGATACGGAGATGGGAGGAGAGGATATTTTCGAGACGGAAACAGAACCAAACCGAGAGGATGTTGAGGAAAAAGTGGAGTCAGAGCTGGAAATCAAAGGAGACAAACCTGGAGCAATAAAGAAGATTATAAAAGGTAACACATCGCTGATTGGAGGAAGCACCAAGAAACGGATGGTTCAAACTTCGGTCTCCCCTCGTAAAAAACCATCTGTCAAGGGTCCCTTAAACCCGAAAATGAGACAGAAAGACACAAAACCTCGGGTGATTGATGAGGATACTTAGTTAGAATTGCCAAGGTCTTGGGAGTTTGTGGACAATAATCTATCTTCGGAAAATTTGGAAGAAGCATAGATCAGAATTTTTATCTCTCTCAGAAACTAAACAATAATTTAATTTTCTACAAAAATTTCAATTCTATTTTGGTTATAATAAATTGTACACGGTTGAACCGTGCGAAGCTAGTGGTGGTCTTGCTCTTTTTTATGATAATTCTTTGGATGTTACTATTCTTTTTTCGAATAACAGAATAGTTGATGTTGAGGCAAAAATTCTCGGAAAAAATGTAATTCTATCTTTCATTTATGGAGATCCAGTTACAAAATTACGGGACCAATTTTGGGAACGTTTAACAAGAATTAGTTTTACACAAATGGAACCATGGCTTATAATTGGAAATTTAAATGAGATAACCGGGAATAATGAGAAACAAGGCGGGCCATTAATTAAGAAAAGACTCTACATTTGTGTCTTTTAACACTATGATATGAGACTGTGGCTTTCTGGAAATTTCCATGTTTAGGAAATACAATGTCTTGGCGAGGAAAGGAAGAACTCAAAATTGGTTAGATGCAAGTTAGATCGGGCTTTAGCTAATGAGAATTGGCATGATATATTCACACATTC